TCTCTCTCTCTCTCTCTCTCTCTCTAAAAATGCAGAAATTCGAACCTGATCCGACTTTTTTTATGATGGACGGTTTTCAGAGGCAGTGTGTAAACGTGATTGACACAACATAAGGTCGCAACGTGAGGTCGCCAGGCCAGTAGATGGCGATGAAACACTATAGACTGAACACGCATGTGCATGAGGTCATCGTCTTCAGAGATTCGCGCTTTTGTTGTTTACACGGAGACCGTTTTCAAAAACTTGCATTTCAGGCGCCCAAAACGCCGTTTGCGTGTAAATGAACCGCCAAAACTCATAAAAAGTTTTGTTTTTAGTTAAAAACAGTGTCGTTTAAACGGCCCCTTAGTGTACTACTTCAAATCTTATATGTGTATTTTTTTAACAAATTGCGGAAGCTTGAGCGTGCTGCGTAACGCGAGGATGACCCTTCATTCCTCTATGTCGTGTTTTCGCTGTAGGAAACGGGCGACACACAGCGCCGGGAAGCGTAAGGGCAGCCAGAAGGACCTGCGACCTCCTGACCTCTGGATCCACCATGAGGAGATGGAGCTGAAGAACATGGAGAAGCCCTCGAGCTCCGCCCCCTCGGGCCGAGACTCTCCAATCCAGAGCCAGGAGATGGCGCCGGTCAGCCACAGCCAATCAGAGAGCCAGATGGGCAGCAAGAGCAGCCACTCAGGTGAGAGCATTTACTCTCCGGAGGTGTGTGTGTGTGTGTGTGTGTGTGTGTGTGTGTTACTCTAACCCTGCTCTCGTGTCCAGATGCCGACGGTGATGAAGCCTCCTGTGTGTGTGTGTGTGTGTGTGTGTGTGTGTTACTCTAACCCTGCTCTCGTCTCCAGGTGCCGACGGTGATGAAGCCTCCAGCATCTCCACACTGGAGAGATCGCTCGCCGCTCGCAGGCCCACGCGCACCAAGATGATGATTCCCATGGACTCGCAGCCCAGCAACACACGTGAGACACGCTGACACTCTTAAACGCCCCTGAATATGTTAGCTTAAGGTTATGAATATAAGCTGCTGTGTTCCAAAACAATGACAAAATTCACATTTAGGAGATATAAGCATTTTTATGACATCACCGCGACTTCAGCTTCTCATCACATCTTCTGTCCAATCAAATGCTCTCTAGACTCTAAAGCTCCGCCCCCTCTGCTATAAACACCACCTGACCAGAGCATCATGGGTTGGAGTGTGTGTTCGCTTGCTCTAACACTCAAGCTTTATTCTGTTCTCCAACTGTGCGCTGGTTAAGAATGAAATGAAGGAATCCTCTCCTGTTGAATCCAGCATATCATCAGCGCTTGATTCGTGAACTCTGTCAGTCTGTGAGGGAAACTAAACGCTATTGGCTGTTTGAAAAGGGGGAGGAGCCATTCAGTATGTCCCGCCTTAGCTTCCTGTTTCAGTGGAAATTACGTCAACGCATCAAACAAATAATGCCTGTTCACACATATAACGATAACTATACCGATGACTATAACCATATAACAATAGCTATAAAGACAGCTATGACTACAACGATAACTATAACAATATCAATAATGATTAAACAATAACTATAAAGATAACTATAACAATAAGTATAACAATAGTGATAATGGTAATAAAAACATTAATGATAACGGAAACTGTAATAATATCTATATTAGCGTCCAGACCGATTTCTTCCAGCTGATGAATGATAAAAACATTGACAGCCAATCAGAATCCGTCCTGCTCAAGCATTTAAAGCGACAGCGCATGATTATAATAAACAATATCATCACCTGGAAAAAAATCATTCCTCTGTGGCGTTATCCTTATAGTTGTGTTGTGGACTTAACTATTCTCATAGAATTATACAAATTATTTTCAAGAAAAGCGATTCTAATAATGTTTTGGTTACAGACGGGTCTTTAGTGTGTGTTTTTGTTCTGAATACGGAGCTCTTCCATTACCCCAATGGCATATAATTTTGTTTTTTTTAAAGCAACAACTCAATATTGATTTATTTCCCCAGAGAACAAGACGTAATTTCTTATGGCATTTTACTCATCTAGTAAATGCATCTTGATTTGAGAGTTTTTAGATATTTGGACTGGAAACAAACACAAACACTGAGTAAGAAAGCGTGTTTGCAGTGTGTGAATATGAGCGTGCCGCTGTCATCCTGTCGTAAGGGCTTGTTTGGGGTGAAAGGCACGGCTCTGATTCCTCATATGACGGGATCATGTGACGCTCCGATGCGTTCCTCTTCCCGGGACACGCGTTTGATGCCGTCCCGGGAGCTCTCTGACCTCCTGCTGGGAGTCTCCATCCTGTGCTTTCATCTCGATCCTCAAACACGCTTCATCTCCGTCCTCTGGGAGAACCAGGAAAGAGTAGCGGCTTATTCTCCCGGGAAAAACCTGGGAGGAAGTAGAGCTTTGACAGGAAGTGGAATATGGGAGTCATCATCAGTAAAAGAGTTCAAACTGAGCGAGATTTAAGTGATGATGAGAAACAAAATACAGACACTTTCTAATTTATATATACTGCAAAAAATGCTTTTCTTTCTCAGTATTTCTCAGTGACATAGTGACATCGTTCTTCAAAATATCTTCCTTTGTGTTCAGCAGAAGAAAGATACTCATACAGGGTTGCAACAACTTGAGGGCGAGTAAATGATGACAGAATTTTCATTTTTGGGTGGAGTATCCCTTTAATATGTTCTCCACAATATTCTCAGCCCCAACAACCCCATCAACACTAGTTGGCAGTGGTGTTTCACTATTATTGATAGTCTTAACTTCTTTCCAAAATTCATAGACATTATTTTGCTGAAGGTTATTGGCGATTGAGTTCGACAGCTCGTTTCTTTTTATAAAGAAAAAGAACAGCATATTTAAATTCAGCATTTCCCAGTTTTGCTCATGTTCTGGACCATACCCACAGTAGCTTTACCCAATAAAACCCAGTTCAGAAACATGTTCATTCCACCCAGCCCTAAAATGATCATTTTTAACCCTTTTGACAGAAAGGTCTACTGGCATTATCTGAACAGTCCAGCATTGCATCATAGATCACACTTATGTTTAGGACTGTTACAATCGACATTATCACACACACAATAGTCTCAGTTGACACGTCTACATTCTTAACCTCTTCTCTGTCGATGGTTTATTTCCCAAAGATCATTTGTTGTGAATCTTGCCCAGTCTAATTTTCTACTGTCATCTCAGGTAAACTTTCAACATTTAACATAATTGAAATAGTGTATGTGGTCTGTTGTAGCCCGGTCATACAATATCTCAAGTTTACCGGGCATCATGTTTATCTGCTGTACATACAGTGATCCAGCCCAGATGTTGTATTCCACGCCTCACTGACGTACAGGTGAACCTCGAAAAATGAGAATATCGTGCAAAGGTTCATTTATTTCAGTAATTCAACTTAAAAGGTGAAACTAATATATTATATAGACTCATTACATGCAAAGTGAGATATTTCATGCCTTTATTTGTTATAATTGTGATGATTATGGCGTACAGCTTGTGAAAACCTTTTCACAATATTCTAATTTTGAATTTGGGGTTTTCATAAGCTGTAAGCCATAATCATCAAAATTGCTCACAATCACAATTCAATCACACATAATCGCTGGCTTCACCAGCCGAAGATCTGCACAGATATCAGTCACGGCCCGTTTCATAGAAGATATATCCGTGCTTAAACACTGGATATTCCCGAGCGGGCATTAGATATCACGGCTAGTGAAAGTCAGTATTTCGTCTAAATAGTGTGACACAAACCGAGGGATGTTCTCGCCAGAGCCTCGTTAAGCAGTTTTCAGCGGCTCTTAACTACAGCGCTGAGAATAGATCAGAGAGAAGTCCTCGATCCGCTCCGACCCAAAGTGATTCACAGCCGTTTAAATCATGCCGTCCTGGTTCAAAGTCTTCCTCTTCATAACGAGAAACTTTAGGAATTCATCCTCCACTAGTACTTGGCCATCAGTAGTCTAGTACATCACTGGATTTACTCGAGATTTACTCGAAGCGTTCCGGCCGCCAACATCCGCCATGTTTGCCATCTCCATATATGGCGTACTTAGAGACCATGTGACCATGTTTGATTTAACATAGAGTTCCTCTAACAAGGTTTTCTGATGAAGATGCTTTCTAATATATATATATACACTCACCTAAAGGA